TCGCACAGGGGCTGTGAGTCAGATTCCTGGCCACCTGCAGAGGGCAACACCAGCAGTTCCATGTCTGTCTCGCTTCCGCGAGGTGAAGAACGCCATCGGGATGGACGAGGGTTTAGTTAGCGTTACCTTTGGTTTACTTTTCCATTCTAGTTTACAATAAGTTTTAAAGTCTGTTTTATCCTAAGAAATTACTTATCTCTGGCTTCTCAAAGTCACAGTAACTTACAGTGATGAATTTGTGTCTTCCTGTTTTCTTAGGAAGAATTGGTTTCTGTCTGCCTTTCAGTGTCACACAGGCAGGCAGGATGGACTGTAAGACGCCGTGGGGCGGAGTGGGGGCGTCAGAGCAAAGGGCCTGTGGAGGCCGCAGCTCACTGCCCTCCCGGGCCCAGGCTTCTGCAGTTGCAGGTGCTTTCCATCTGTAATTCCCAAGGAGAAAGGTTCTCATGGCTAAGAACATCTTTAGATTACATTCTCTGGATCTTTATTGGGGGAAAAAGCATTTTGTTAAATGATTGGTGTTTCTCTAAATATGTTTTATTACTGTTTTTGTTCGTTAATGAAGCAATTAGAGATTGGTTAAGTGCTATTGTATAATATTTCTGAAGTTCCTGGGTTTATTTATTTACTTTTTTAAAACTTTTATAAGAATTTATTTGAGCAAACTGTTGGGGAGCAACATCTCAAATGCTCCAGCAGTTGCTGTTTGTTGGTGAAAATGGTGATGTTGATGTATTGCTTCAGGATAATGGGAAAAGGTTGCCATCTGTTCCCTTAACAATAGGAGAGGCCCCAAGGCTGCTTAGCAACAGCTCTTCCAGTGTAGGCACCTGGGAGGTAAGGAAGAATCGGGGGGAGATCACGGGAATGTTAACCGTCCTTTTATCTTCAAAGGAATGTGCCAAACGAATTGCAAAAGTCTCAGCAGAAGCCAAGTTGGAAATTGATGAGGAGACTTACCTGAGCTCCTTCAAACCTCACCTAATGGACGTCGTGCACACCTGGGCCACGGGGGCGACGTTTGCCCACATCTGCAAGATGACAGACGTCTTTGAAGGTGCGGCTCAGGCTCATGGCACACTCCTCTGAGGGGGCACGGGCTCAGGGGCCTCGCTGGCTTGTCTGTGATAAGAGAGAGTTATGTGGAAAGACAGACGGCAGTGAGCAGAAGGAAGGGGCTCAGGATACTGGCTACAAAGGCAGAATGGGACTTGGCCTGAGGGGAGAGAGGGGTAAAGGTAACACATGGGGGAAGCAAAGGCACCTGGGGGTCATAGGGTCATTGTCCTGAGGTGGGGTGGGGGGGGCTGCACTTGGCTGGTTTGGCTGGTTTTCTGGGCCTGGAGCTGAAATACAGCTGTGGCCCAGATGGACTGGATGCTGGTCAGAACCTCCTTGTCCTGGGAGTTACTGCTCAAGGGCTGTTCTCCGCCCTTGTTCATCCCCCTTGAGGTGGTCTGTCCATGACTAGCAACATGCCAGGCTGACACTGTTTTAACAAAACGTTACTTTTTGGTGATAAAGTGGCATCTCCTGCCTGTGTAGGGAGAAAGTGCCCTGCACAAGCCCTGTTGTGTCAGGCACAGGCCCTCCTCAGCGCTACACAGAGGTGAGGCTCCTGCCACCGCTGCACTCTCCCAGCTGTGAGCCTGTCTTCTGGCTGAGTGCACTCACGTTGACCACCAGGGGGCAGCTCCTGCGTTGAGCGTCTGCCCCCTGGTGGTTAGTGCGCGTCATAGTGACCCGTCATTCTGCCATTCGGTAGATTTGTATATTCGCCTTTTATCATATAGGAAGTCAGACACAGTGACAGCCATCGTGGCTCATAAAGGAGAGGAGGCGTTGTTTTAAGAACAACTCTGGGCAACAGGGCTGTAAACTGTATGTAAGTGGAGACGTTCTCCCAGTCCAGGAGACACACGGGTCTGCTGGGCCGAGGACAGCAGCCGTGAGCAGCCTTCCCGCCCTTGCATTTCCTGGAGCCGTTCCCCAGCACAGCTTGCTTGAGAAGTCTAAGTCTGAAATTCGGTCTAATATCAGCATGTTTTCTTTTTTTTCTGGTCTGCGTACCGCTCTATTAACGCAAATTTTCCTAAAATGGGAGTAGACTGTGTATTAACCCTTAAAAACAAGTGGCAGGTTAACCAGAAAGAGAAGCTGGAGACCTGGTTTACGTAGGATAGTGCTTGCTTCTTTGAACATACTGCCCCCCTTTGCCATGTTGTTGTCAGTTCTTCCACTGCAGAGTGGCCTTCCCTCCTGTGATCGCACATTTTTATACAATTGGAGAAACACAGGAAGCTGAGCACTGCCCCAGCGCAGGCGCAGAACTTAACGAGCCTCGCGCAAACCACAGTTTCTAATCAGAGTCCTAATTTTCTTTTTCTGTGAAAACAAGAAACAAAAAACGGTTTCGATCATTTCAAGTAGTTGCCTCGTCGTTTGGCTGGTTAGCTCAGCTGTTAGAGCGTGGTGCTAAGAAGTAGTTGTCAGTACTCTTTAGGCATTAGCTGGGGCATGTGTTTGAGGGAGGGATGTCTGCTGGGTTCATCTGAGGAGTTTTGGAGGCTTCATATAAACAATGGTTCTTGCATCGGCTGTAGTCGCTGCTTACGCCAGCGAACTGGACGTGGGCAGCGCTTTAGAGAGTGTGGAGAGGCTACAGCCCGTGGTTTGCCGCTGACCCACGGAGTGGATCCAGGGCAGCCTCCGGGCAGTGCCCGTCACTGTCCATTTCTGACAGCCGCTGCTGCACCCACCGCCCTGCACTGACAGCCATCGGGTCATTCTTGAAACTGCTGCCCCCCGCCCACCACACTCCTCAGAGGCCTGGCATCCGGCGTGGTTCCTGAGCCTGGGGTGCCCGAGTCATGAGGGACTTTCCACTGGCCTTGTTTTCAGAAATACTTGGCTAAAAATAACGGTAGCTTTTATTAGTGCGTATCATCTGTGCTTAAAGTGGGCACAGCTGGTACTCATGCCTTAGCAATGACACCTGGCGCTCGCTCGCTCGCTCACTCGATGAATTGCTGAGGCCCGGTGTGGACAGCAGAGCCGCCTCCAGGAAGGGTCGGCCTGCACCCGCGCCCATGAGGAACGCACATTCGCGATGCTGACCTCGGGTCAGACCCTCAGAACCACGCGGACGGGAGGGAGCCAGGGCGTGCCGCGGGCGGCACTCGGGGGCCGGAAAGCTGGAGGGGGGTGCTGCTGGGGAAGGAGAGGGTGGTTTGTTCCAGGACAGCTGCCCGTCACACACGTGCCCACGTGGCCGCCAGCGGGTGAACACGTGCATGTGGTCCATCACCCACAGGACGCTGTCCGCTAGAGGGTGCGCTGCGAGGAGGCTACGATGGGAGGAGCTTTGGGTCCCATGGAGGTTGAAGGGAGGACCCAGGCACCCCCGGGACATCCAGTCCCACGCCCTCTGCGTGGCCTCCTCCCCTGACGAGTGTCCCTTCTGTCCAGGCAGCGTCATCCGCTGCATGCGGCGCCTGGAGGAGCTGCTGCGGCAGATGTGTCAGGCGGCGAAAGCCATCGGGAACACCGAGCTGGAGAACAAGTTCGCGCAAGGTCAGTGTCCCTCGTGTCTGCTGTCCCCAGCACCTGTCCGCCGTCTCCCCGGGTGGCCACGAGCGCCCTCTAGTGGTTAAGTAAAGCCTCAGGGTCTGGGCCAAGATGATGGGTGTTTATGGGCACCTCCCGTGCCTCTAGGGACAGGGAGTGGATGGACCCGGCCTGCTTGGAGCTCCTGTCCCAGCGCCAGAGACAGATAAGCCAGCCCTCCGCAGAGCAAAGCCAGAGTGGAGGGGGTGCACATGGCCCAGGCACCCCTCAGGCAGCTGTTAGGCCCTTCCCACGTGCTTGGTTCACGTGAGGACCAGCAAGAGGCCGTGTGCTGGCGCCGAGCGGGCGAGGGAGGGGCGGTGGTGGAAGCAGTGAGTGTGTGGCCCGCCCTCGCCTCGCTCGAGATGACGCCAGGCAGACGGGTTACCCAGGCCGCTTTGCTGTCGCTCTGCAGGCCGTCTGCAGAAGCACGGAGCGGGGAGCCCAGCTCAGACAGGACGGCCAGAACCAGGGGGTGGCCGGGACCAGGCTTGTAGGTGGGCTCACGGGTCCCCAGCGACCTCTGCTGCCACCTGTCTGTGAGGCCAGACACGGCCTTGGCCTTACACCACTCCGACCCCAGTCTAATTGTAGGAACTCGTCCTGCCTCAAAGAACCCACGTGGTCAAACTTCTTTCGATAGCTTAGTCCTTTCCCAAATAAGGTTTCTGTGATATTTTTAGACACCCCCACCCCATTCCCATAGACACACACGCACTGGGGCACAGGGGAGTCACACACACACGCACTGGAGCACAGGGGAGTCACACGCTCACACTGGGGCGTCATTGAGTTATGGACACTGTTTATTCCATGTGGAATGAGGCTCCAGGCAGGCGTCCTGAAGTTTATCCTCTGCTGGCCCCTGCCTCAGGGGAGTCGAGGCATCAGACCAGGGTGTGGTTTCCAGGTTGCCCCTCGGCCGGCTGTGAACTCCCAGGTCTCATTTGGACCAGCAGGGCCGGTGCTGTCTCCACAGCAGGGCGGGGTGGCTTCTCTGTGGTCTAAAGGCTAACTGAGCCGTGTTTCCCCTCAGGCATCACCAAGATCAAGAGGGACATTGTGTTTGCTGCCAGCCTCTACCTGTAGGTGCCCCGGGGCGGGGAGTGGCTGGTCTGGACTGCAGGTGACCACATGCTCACAGCAGCACTTGGCTCGCCCTCCCACACAGCTGTCCTCAGACACTGAACCCAGCACCAGACATGTGTACATAAGCATTGCATTTTTAATAAAAATGTACAGTGAGGCATTGAGTGCGTTTCTTCGTGGACTTGGAGCTGTGGCCAGCCGCCGGGGGGAGCTATGTACACGGGCGTGAGCGTAGGGTCGGGATAGCAGCAGAGTCCCTCAGGCTGTGCACAGACAGGAGAGGCAGTCTCCCTCGCCCACCGCCTTCAAGGCTGGTGACTGTTCCGGAAGTGATTCTCCCCCGTGGCCGTTTCGTGCAGGTTCGTATGCGAAGCCTCCTCGTTTTCCTTAAAAGATTTTCTCTCCTTGAAGAAATCTGACACGTACACCACCTACAGGGAACAGATACACTCCGAGTGAGTTTAAAAGCCGTCCGCTCCGTCTCAGTAGGCGTGTGCAAAACTGAGCGTGAAGAGCAGGACATGGTGCGGGCAAGACTGAGGGCACAACTCAGGCTCACGGGAATGTCAGGGGCGCACCGCGTTGAGGTGCGGATAGCCTTTCTGCTGGCCCCTGCTCTTCACCAATCAGACGGCTGCCGTCAGAGCCTTCACATGGAGAACACGGGGACCCTGCTGTGACTGGGCAGTCCTGCACGCTGCCCCCGAGGTCTCCTCAGAATTACCGCCACTCAAATACCCACGTGCCATCGCCGCACCGCGTGCCATTGCCACATGGCGTGCCGCGGCACGGTACTCACCACCAGCACTGCGACCAGCGCCCCCTGCATGAGCCCCATCAGCACGTCGCTCCAGTGGTGCTTGTAGTCTGACACGCGAGAAAGGCCCACGTAGATGGACGTGGCCACGAGGCCGAACTGCAGCGTGGGCCGCAGGAGCCTCGCCCAGTCCGCCCGCATCCTGGCCTGCAGGTAGAGCTGACGGAGGAGAGCCAGTCAGCACGCCGCTCCACGACTTCCCCCAGGCGTCCCTCCCCTCTGCACGGCGGGTGTGCTTCACATGACCCGCAGGCATCACACTGTCATTGAGTTATGGACCCTGTGTATTCGTGTGGAATGAGGCCCCAGGCAGGCGTCCTGAAGTTTATCCTTTTAAGCAGAACAAAAACCACTGCCGAGGAACGTGTGCTTAGGATCTGTGCCTCCGCAGGCAGACCACTGCTCCGTGCCCAGGGCAGGGGCGCCCAGTGGACAGGGTTGCAGCCCCTCAGTCTGCTGGGGGCTCATGTGAAGGCCAGCGCTGCCGACAGCCCGTCTTGGGCTGAGCCCCCTAAGCTTAATGCCCGAGCTTGCTCGTCTGCAGCTGGGCAAGTGCGCCCACTGCCTGAGCCAGCGCCGCTGTAGCCCCCCCTCGCCCCACAGGGTTCCCTGCACCCCTTCCAGCTCCGGCCTTTCCCCGAGCCTGAGCGGCTCCTCCCGGCCTGCCGCCTGACCGAGGAGTCTGGTGGTTTCCTAAGAGTCCCTTGGCAAATCTGGGCTCATTAAAAACGTTTTTGGTCTAATTTCCATCCAGTGAGGGCGTGAAAACCCAACAGAAAAGTGTCTGTGGCTGTGCTTATTCAGAAGAGCCACGCCCAGCTGCAGGCTCTGTCCTCAGTGGCTGGACCAGGGAGCACCTGGTTCTGAAGATGCATGCCCGGCGGCAGTGGCTCTCAGCGGTGGGCTGAGGTGCTGCCGGCTTTCCACAGCCCCCTCCCCGCCAACTGGAGGGAAGGCAGAGGGCAGTGACCCCTCAGTGCAAGCAGCAGGGGCAGCTGGGCACTCCAGTCACACAGCAGACTCCTCAGTGTGGTGCCTGGGTGGGACAGGCGTTAACACCAGCTCCCCCTGGGGGAATCCCCACCCCCCCTGCCCTGAGAGGAGGCGGGGTTTAAAGGACACAGGATCTCAGGGAGTGGGCTTCCCGGAGACACAGGCCGCCACAAAGCCTACACCACACCTCCCCACCGTCTGGTAGGAGAACCCGACCAGTCCGTGTCCAAGCAAATCAACGACCCCCAGACGGCGCGTGGCCATCGGAACCAGGAAGCAGCTGGAGAAGAGCTAGCCTTCGGGTCCGCCTGGGCATGGGCCGTGCTGGCAGCAGCCGGCCCTGCATGGCAGACAGGACCGCTCTACAGAGCTCAGGGCATGCAGGGGCAGGGGCAACGTCAGCTGAGGCAAGTGAGCATGGGGTGGCCACGGGGGAGGCCACACGCACACACCACGCCCCAGGGGAGCTGCAGGGGCAGGCGTGTACTCACCGCCAGGAACAGCGCGCAGTACATGGAGAAGGAGGAGTGGCCCGAGTAGAAGGACAGCCTGCAAGAGAGGAGACCAGCTCGTTCTCTCCCGGAGGCCCCGGCGCCTCCCCGGCCCCCGGCGCCCTCTTCCCCTTTAGAGCCAGCACCGGGCGGCCGAGTCCGGGAGCCAGCCGCCAGGCTTGCCCAGCAGCTCCGACACCAGAGCCGGCCCAGGGCCTGCCTGCGTCACAGGCGCGGACCACACTGCAGACTGCTCTCCACCGCAGGTCGGCCCTGAGGACCCCGCCCCTGAGCACTCAGAAGTGACTGCTTTTTACCAACAGGTTCTGAGGTCTAAACTGCGACGGCTAGCATTCCCCGTGGGCACACGTCCAGCCTGGGCTCCTCCAGGCTGTCGAGGGCTGCTTCCCCTGCGACAGCCTGGAATGGCCGGGTCAGAGCCTACAGCATTGCCTCCCTGGGCTGAGACGGCTCTCATCCTGGGCTGCAGTGACCACCAATCTGTGGTCCATCATGATGCCAGGGAGGCAAAGCTGTACCACGAGGACGGGAAACGGAGGACGGGCACAGCGGAGACCAGAGCCAGCGCTCAGCTCGGTGCCGGCCGCTGGCACCCCCTCTGAGCCGCGCCGGCCCGCAGGCACCAGCCCGGACACGCACCTGCCCTCCTTCACTCGGTGCGGGTTCCCTCGGCAGACGTAGTATTCAATGTAACCGTCGCTGCAGTTGATCTTGGACCAGTCTATGTCACAGACGTCCAGGAAGTGCGGCCGCAGCCTGCCGATGGAGTACTTGGCGATGTCGGTCAGGGACTGGCTGGCCCCTGCGCCGAATAGGAACGTGCCCACGGCCTTGTAAATGGTGGCCACGTAGTTATTCCTAATGAAGGAATTCGAGTGCAAGAGGTTACAGTACACACACACGACTTCTCCGATGACCATCTGGAAAAGAAACAGAAAAGCACGTTAGAGCAGCAAACGGGCACTTTAAACAAAACTAAAAATAAACGAGAAAATGGCAAGTCACAGTGAAACCACTTTAAAAACAGCGCTTCCCCTTTACGAATGCAGCGTGCACTTGGGCTCGAGCACACGAAGGGAGCCGGTCTGCTGCGGAGCCGCTGCCAAGGCAATGCAGCCAGAACACGGCGGCCGCCTCGCCTCGCCTCTTGTGCTGGAAGGGGACAGCGATGTGGACAGTCTGTCTCAGAACAAGCTTCCCCAGCTGGAACTTCCTAAGCAAGGCCACAGCTTCCTTCTTCCCGACGCTCCGCACAGCTCACAGCCAGCATGTGAAAAGGGGAGGGAAAAAAGGTGGAAGAGAATTTCAAGGAGCAAAACATGGAAAATACAAGCAGGGACCTAACCCTGAGGCCAGTGGTGCCGAGGGAGCGGGAGGCGGGGGCCGGTGCGCCTGTGAGAGCGAGGCCCTGACGCCCCTTCTCCCGGAAAAACATCCCGTGCCTCCTCCCCACTGCCCCGCAGAGCTGCAGGCCGGGCCACTCAGGCCCGAGCCGCGGGGACCAACTCGCAGCCGTGGAGGGAGGTCAGAGGCACAAAAAGTCTCCAAATGCTTGACAAGTCCACGCACTAACACCCTGAAAATCTTACAAGCACCCAATGGCAACAGTATGCCAACAGTATGCTAACAACACAAGCCACACTGGCTGCCTGAGCTCAAACCAGCGCCGAGCAGTCCGCTGCCAAGTCCCCGCTTCCCCAAGACCTCCTGGCTCCTGCTCCGATCCACACGAGGACGGTGAGCGGCAAGCCTCACCACCTCACTGGAGCAGCTCAGAACCCTGGCCCAACGTCCCTCGGTCCTGGCCGCCGGCTCCTAAAACCCCTCCTGAGCTGGCGCCCTGCCGCGGCCATGGGCCTTCCTACGAAAGCAGGTGGGTTTCCGGCTCAGCCGCCCGTGACCTCAGCGAGGGCGCTGAGAACTAACTGAAGAGGCTGCCTCGGGGCAAACACGGGGAGCCCACTGGTGGCTCCTGGCTGGGTGCCCATGGGCAGACCTCGCCTGTCCCGATAGGCCCCGGGGGATGGTCTCCCTGCCGCCAGGCCCTGCCTGCCGCCCGCTCCGCCTCCCGGACCGCTGGGGCAGCACCTGACAGACCAGCGGACAGACTGGGGTTGGCTGAGGAGCTGGTCAGGGACCACTTACAGAGGGTACCGAGCAAGGCGGCCCCATGTGGGCAGGGAGACCTCCACGCCCCGCTGTCGCTGCGCTGGCGGTCAGCCACCTTCCCGAGCGAGGACTCCTGAGCCCTCACCACCGTGAGCACGGAGCCCTGGCTCTCGCCCTGGAGACAGAGGAGGGCCTGGGCGTGCCTGCTTTTACGCCACCTATGTCCATGCTCAGCCTGGGACACCCACACTCCCGTGACCTAATCTGTGGCCTGATCTCATGCGTTATTCACTCAGAGCCTAGAGAGAGGAAAGCATTCACGAACTAAAGAAACGGGGAGCAGAGAGAATGCTGTGAAGGTCAAGCTGACCATTACCTAAGCCCAGGTCGCAGCCACAGAGAGCCTGCTCAGCGAGCTCTGTACACGCCACGCTGTCTCTGCACGTTCGTCCTCGCTCAGCCCGCCTTCCCACAAAGGCGTCCGGGACCTCTGGCCTGTGCCCCTCCTGCCTCCACACCTCTGACCACCTCGTCCCCACTCTCCTCCGTCTCCCTCAGCCACGGTCGCTCACAGCAGCGCAGGGGCAGCCTTGCTGCCTCCGCAGGGGATGCGGCCAGCCTGGCCTCGCCCTCCTCGGAGCAGCCATCCCTTGTGCTTGTGGGTGTTTGAGGATCATCTGCATTTCACATCAAAGGCCTGGCACCAGTCTGAGTGAGGCCTAAAGGCTTTTTTAAAGAGAGAATTTACTTGCAGTAAATGAAGTGCAACAGGCACTTCTGACCACATGGGCCTGGAGGGAGCCGAGTTAACGAATAAACTGCAGTTACTCGACACCAGCACCAAACCACTGCCCTCAGCAGTCCGTCCCGGCTGGTGTGTTGGCAAGGGCTGCACTGAACAGCCCGGCGACAGGCAGGCTGTGGTATAGAACGGACCCTCGGTTTCCTTGCTGTTACGCTCAGCGGGAAGACCACGTGCTCACGGGGGCTGACACCGTCCAAGCTGCGCGTCGCTGACGGCACAGGAGGGCTGGGTGCTGGCGGCCGGCACCGGCCCCGCAGAGCCGCCGGGCCGGCCGTCCTGCAGCGACTTCGGCAGCTGCGCCTGCAGAGCATCTGCTACCGAGCGAAGCCAGGAAAGGAAGCTGCTATCTGCACCTGTAACAATCATCTCCCAAAACGGACCGAGAAGACCCTCCTCGCACCCACCCTCCGTGGAAGCAGCAGAGGCGCGGTTTCTTCCCGTCAGTAGTACACCTCAGCAGAAGGTCTTCGGTTAAAGGGACACTAGTTTCTAACCCTCGCCCTCCCAGGGGAGTCTCCGAGGTCACTGCGTACCCGAGCCAGGATGCCCGGAGGAACGGCGCCGGCTGCTCAGGGCCTCGGGTTCAGGAAAGCCGGGCAGAGGTTTCCATGTATCGTGAGCGACTCACCTGGGCGCTCGGGCGCTGTGGCCGTTCCTGAGCGAGGCATCACATTTCTGAATTAAGAAGTGTCTGCATTTTTAATTCCCAAAATGACACAGCACGAGGCTGTGATGGTGGCCTATCTCCTGGAGGGGACCACATTTCCCGCTTTTAACTGAGTCATGAAGCACAAATCCTAGCGCCTCCTCTGGGCCTGAGGCCTCCCGCAGAGCGGGCTCGCCTGCCTGACTGGGGACAGTCCCTCCTCGGTCACTAACTGCCAGAGCGCTGGCTCCTCGCCGGTCCTGGCGTGCCCTGAAAATCCTTTGAAGTAAAAGTGGGTTAAATGAAGGCTTAACATTAGTTAGCAAGTTTTCTTTTCCAGAACCAGTCCATATACACAGACTCATTAGGTCATAAACCGTCTAACCTGTGTCTACAGTAGGGACGTGGACACTGACGCCCACTGCTGCAGGGTGACTCAAGGGGGGAATCGGCCCATCAGTCACAGGGGCAGACTGGGCGAGCTCTTCCGGTTACACACTGCTATTCTCTCGGTCCCACCTGACGTAAATGACATCTGGATCAAATAACAGCTTCAGTCAGAGGTACACACACACACGCGCGCGCACACACACACACACACACGTGCACACACACACACACACACACACACACGTGCACACACACATGCACGCACACGCACGCACTGTTCCAGGTTCTGCACACAGTCATCCACAGACAACCACATTCAGCCACCGACCAGAGGGAGAACGTGAAGAAGTGGATGAACTTACGACGATGATACTGAATGGAATGAGTATTCCCCCCAGTAACGCGTAAGGGATGGTGTCGTCCTTGTAAGGGTACTTGATGGACACGTCATTACAGAACAGTCCTCGCTGGAAGGGGGTGTGCCTTGTAGTAAGAATTGCAAAAGGCAATCCAGCTAGCAAAGGGAATAAACGAAAACATCGTTAAAAATGGAGCATCAAAACACATCAATGGCAACCATGACCCCAGAGCCATTAATGCGTCTGCCACGGGAGCGAGCGAGTCAGCAAGGCGAGGGCGCAGCAGTGCAGGTGGGAGGGAGGTGCAGGCAGGACCCCCTCGGCGGCTTCCACGTGGGCTCCAGGCGCCACTACACCCAGAGGGACTCCTTCCCTTCCTGCCTTCTCGTGCCCTTGTCATTTCACCCCGTCTTCACACTGTTTGCAACCATTCGTCACCGACGTGGCTCCCAGAAGCGACCCAGCACTGGCCATCACAGGTCTAGGCCACACCACACGCAGGCCGTCCCGGCCAGGCCACCGAGGGCCTAAGGAAGCTCTGCCCGGCGCTGGGGCTGGGGCTGTCACGAGGGCCCAGCAGCTGGGAAAGGAGCCGGAGCTTCAGGCCAGGTCTCTACGAAAGACACCGGTCACGCTCAGGAGCGGCACCAGACACTGCTCCCGCAGCCGGGTCTCCGTCCCGTCCCGCCCCCTAGCTCTAGCTGACGTGGACCGGAGAAGCCTGCTCTGCTTCACCGAGCTCGGCAGACTGCCAACTAGGACTATCTTGCACAAAAGACAGTTTAGCAGAAACCTCAACACTCCGTCCGCCCCAAGGGGGGAGGGTCCCCCCTTCTACCCCCCTCCCCACAGTGCCGCTCCGCCAGGCTGACACACTGGTGCTCACCCACTCCCAGTTCTCACCGAACTGGGAGCCGAAGGCCACCCTCCGCTCTGCGGAGTGCCTCCCACATGCCCGCCGGGCCAGCCAGGCCGGCGGGAAGGAGCGCACGTCCCCATTTCTCTCTCCCGGAGCACCAGCCACGGCTGCTTCTTTGGGGAAGCACCTGGCCGGGTGGGAACTCGGCAGAGTCTTTAAGGCGCTCACCGGGTTCCCAGAGCCATGTTCTCGTAAACACTGCGTTTTAAGAAAAACCCGACTGGAGCTGACTGTGCCCACTGACCCTCCCCACCTGCCCGTCTGCATTCAGGTTCCGACACCAGCACAGACTGCCCGGGTGCCAGCCTCCCCACCCGCACCCGCGCTGAGCAGCTGCTGTTCACGGGGACCCACCACGTCTAGCACTCGCTTCACTCGCAAGGACTCCACACCGCACACACCGCACGCTTCTGAACGTGATCCTTCTCCCAGGGGACTCCTCTCCGCAGCAAGAACAGGCTCCGAGCACAGAACCCGAGCCCATACCCGACCGGTGCCTAAGCCGTGGCAGGCTTTATGTCCCTGTTATCAGAAAAATGCTTGCTTACGGGCAATGTACTGAAAACTGTTCAGGAGCGTATTCCTTAGGTTGTGTGTTTTCCCCTTTGACACAGAAACTATGTTAGAAATTGTTCTTAGTGTTTTTAGAATAGGAGAAAACAACATGAAGTCACACACAGGTATAATGAGTCCGTTTTTAAAAACGGGAATATCCCAGTGGACAGATACACGTAGATCCATGGTGCGAGGCTCTGCTGGACGCGACAGGACACACCGTGGGTCGCTCTACCACCGCGGGCTGCCATCGCTGCCGCCTGCTGACTTGCCTCAGTCACGTGGTGCGTGGCGCCCTGGGAGCGGCTGTCACTCACGTAACGATGGGTCATCGCGTGGGAGCACGCCCCTCGCTCCCGGTCACTGCGCAGTGTGCTGTGGGCACACGCGACGACTTATCCCCTCCCTGAGGACGGGGTCCCCCGCTCGGTCCTTGACGACTGGCGACCCTGTAACGCCCAGTTCAGGCTGGCCGACACGTCCGTGTCGAATGCAGAGGCCTCAGTGGAAGACTGCCCGCTGCTGACCGCAGTGGTGAGCCCACGAGAATGGCCCTGTGCACGCACACTCTCACGGACAGTCACCGCCTCCCTGCCCCCGCCGGTGAGGACACACCACCAGAGCGTGTGACACGGACACTTGGCTTCCACACTCCAACCACAGGCCCCTCCCGCCGCCAGACAGCGACGAGCAGCAGCCTGGGCCCCGCTCCTCTCCAGCCTCCCGCAGACAGCTGCCTGCGTGTGTCAGCAGGAGGACTGGTGACGGCGTCCAGCAGACTGAGAGCCCTGGCTCACGGGAAACCACGGCAACGCCACAGGCTCCTCCCCGGCAGAGGCTGATGTCTGCTTTGTGCCAGGACCGTACTCCGTGATGTGGCTGTGAACCGCGAGTGCCTGGGAAAGGGGCGTGCGGGCTCGGGGCTAAGAACCCTGACAGGTGCCAGGCCCCGAGACCTGTGGCGAGGCCAGCACCACCTCCTGGAACAGACACTGAGCAGAGAGGGCGACCACCAGAGAGGGAGTTCTCAGGCTCCAGCCCCTCGCCGACGCCTGACGGGAAGGGGAGGCACAGCTGAAGGCGGGACCCCGCTGCGAGGAGACAGGGCTGCCGCCTGCCGAGTCGTGACTGACGGCGGGGGAGGCGTGAGTGTGGATGCACGTCCTCCAGCAGCCTCAGATCTCCCTGTGTATTCGCCAAGGGGAAAACTCCGAGAGGGAAAGTCAGCTGTGAAAATACATTTGTCCAAAGATGCCGGAGGACCTGACATACAGTCATACTAATCAAGTAGCAAATAGCATGTGCTGATGCCTTCTTTCTTTTCCTTCTGCTTACATCTACAATAACAAACACACCGTATGCTAATAGGACGGACGTCCTTCCAGACGAAGCCGGGGCTGCGAGGGAAGCCGGGGCCGGCAGCGGGGGAAAGAAGGCCTACTCCTTGCATCGGGCCTCCGGTGTGACAACAGAACTCTGGTGACTGCTGTAAACCGCAGCAACCACCAACCGAAACCACACTCAAAGCAGAGGCATTTACAATATCCACCACACTGGCACTCTTGGGTTCAAACCTCACAGAACGTGTGCGTGCTGAAAGTGACAAACACAATGAGGGAAGACAGAGGCCTCGGGGAGACACACGGAAGAGTTAACGAGGGGAAGGGTCCATCTCTCCGGGGCCGGAGCTCTTGTCGAGATTCCAGCCAGACTGCTGCAGACACACTGACCTCACGTGCCCGTGGAAAGCGAGGCGCCCGGGGAGCGGAGAGCTCTGGAAAAGGGTCATCTCTGCACTGGACAGTTCTAGAGTTTCGACAGATTGCGAGTGTCCTAATCGTATGCACACTGAATGATCACAGTCAGTGTTTATTAACATGCTAGAGGCCCGATACAGGAAATGTGTGCAGGGGCTCGGCCCTCGCAGCCCCTGTTTGTTCCGGAAGGTCAGCCTGCAGTCTGGTCTAATTAGCATATTACCTCTTTGTTATATGGGACAGCTCACTTTCCACATGCATTCCAGTCATCATGGTGCAGTTTAGGTCACTGAATAATCCAATGTCTCTGTAGGAATTTGTATGTTGGCCACACACACACACACACACACACACACACACGGCTATCCTCTATTATTTTAGGCTGAACATGTTTACTACAAGGCTGTGCGATAGAATAACAAGACCTAAGAAAAGCAGCTACTCACAGTCCTGTGCAATCACCCGGCACATGCAGAGAGTAAGTGTCCTTTCTAGAAGTATATGCCTTGCATACAGGGGCTTGGGGTTTAACTTCCTTGTTACTACGTTACTCTAAAAGCTGCATACAATTCAAGCTTCTTTTTCTAAAAGTAAATGTGTGAGGACCCGGGAGGAAAGGTACACAAAGCCAGGGGGAAGGGAACATTTAGTGTGAAATTGGATCCTTAAGTCCCAGAAAAAAAACCTTAGGCCAGGAAAACACAAAAATCAATCGTCTTCCCATTAGCTGAGGAAGAAACAGTACAGAGTGCCTTTGTTTTTTCTTAAAGAATATGGACCTCAAATTGTAAAAATTAAGTTGATGGTTTAAAATGTTCTATCATCCAAATTCCTTTTCCTCATCATAAAGTTACAAAGCATGCATCTGAGTCACATCCAACACTAGTCATTTCCAGAAAACCACCTTCTTCACCCAAGGTCACATGTAAACTGAAAACACACACACAAGCCCGCTGCGGCCCACTAGCCACCGCACACGCACCCTAGCCACATGCACACGCATCCCAGCCACCGCACACGCATCCCAGCCATCACACACACTGCTCCTTCTTTCACTAGGAACACGTTTTCATTAAAAAGTCTTTGCAGGTCATCGCTCCAATATTGGGAATAAGAATGCAAGGATTTACCCAAGTCTTTTCCCACTACTTTTTGAAAATGTAGCTGTATTTTTCCTAACTGAGCTGTTTTATACCTATAGTAACTCAAAAATGTTCACCATACAAATACGTAAAAACAAGGTACAGACTGAATGTGAGTGTAGTCACAATGACAGGAACACCGACCAGCTGGCCTGGCGGGTGTGGCCGGTGGTTGGAGCTTGGTCCTGTGCACCACAGGGTTGAAGGGTCAAGGGTTCGATGACCAGGAGGAGCACACACCCAGGATGTGGGTTTGGCTCGATCCCTTGTTGGGGTGTGTACAGAAGACAGCCAATAGATCTAAGTAAATAAAAACATATCCTCTAATACTAGAGGCCCTGGGGAAGGGTGTCCCCTATCAGACATCAGAGATATAAGCTAGAAACCCAAGAAGCAGGTTATCACTCAGAGGCAATGCGGGGCCCACCCGGAAAGAAAAGCCAGCCTCCCTGCTGTGGAAACAGGCTGCTGAGCAAGTCCACGCGCTGGGAAGACAGGCGGCCAGAGGAGAAAGCCGCCTGCCCCCGCTGTCTGCGGCCAGGCACCTGGAGACACGGGGACTCCGGATCCGGAGCCCGTGATGAAGGAAGTGAGCGCAGCAGCTTTGCTGTGGGGGGACTTCGCCTGGAAGGGAACGTGCCAGGTATCTGACATCTGAAGCCCACCCCCCAGGCCAATGAGCTGCCCTCCAGCACAGCACCTCGAACCCCTGACCAGGATGAGGCACTCTGAGGGATCTAGTCTGCATATGTGTCATTTCTCAGATTTAACACATAAACCATCTCCTTCCTATGGCCTGGATTCCCATAAATGATAAATGGTAAATGATGAGACAAGCAGCACCTTAGCTCGGCACGTCATTTACCAGCACGAAACGCTTACGGGCTGAGCCAGCGCCTGTACTTTGTCCTGAAAGGAGTTGCTCCAGCTGCCTGGGTGAGCCTCCGTGCTAAGCTCCACAGGGTTGAAGGGTCAAGGGTTCGAAGGACCTACTTGTTCCCTGTGGCCTCGCACCCCTTGTCCTGGAGAAACTGCCCCTTGTGAGCACAGGGCCTGCTGCTCAGCGCCGGCCGTCCGCACACCACGCCAGGAAGGCCGGCTGGACCTTACTCCAGCGCCATCACTCCACCCCCCTCCAGCACCACACGCCAGCGCCACCTACCTACTCGTGCATTTACTTACACAGGAAATGGGTACCCCAAGCCCCAGTACGCTGAGCATGGTGGTGGAGACGGTACTGTCATGGTACGGGTACTGGATGCTGATGTCTGTACAGAAAAAGCCTCTCTGAAATGGGTATATGTAACGCAGATTTAGAACAGCCATGGGCATGGAAGCTGTTGGGGAAGGGAAAAAAGACACACATGGTTACAGTCAGTTCACTTCACCGGGAGGTTAAGTCTACCAAAGGGGCGGGTCTTAGCACATTCTGCCCGTTCTGGAAGGAACCCATGCTCCACCAGCCAGAGTGAAGCGGGCAGCAGGCAGGCCGCTCGTCCCCCCGCCTCACTGAGCACACGTGCTCCGGCCCCGGGCGCCTCGGAACCCCGGAGGGAGCCAGCCGGCCCGAGGAAGCAATTTCGTACCAATTCACTTTTTATTGAATTGCTTCATCTCTTAATTATATTCAAGAAAAAAGAAAACTTAGTAAATACGTTTAATAATCATAATTATCAAAACAGCCAAATGTATTAAGGAGGGCGGGTATAAAATTTTGTTTCACATTAAAATTTAAAATATGGTTAGAAAACAAAAGAAACGTAAGTATATTTGATAATAAAAACAGAAAGAACCAAGCCCTTTGTGTTCCAAAGAAAAATTAAAAGTTTTATCTTTTTTTTAAGCCCTGGCAAGCCTCCAAAATCACTATGACAAGCTACACAGGAATAATGTTCTTTGAGATTTCTCACCCAAATAAAATGAAAGCCAAAGAGGAACGAACTTCAATCAGTAGCTCCGCAGTCCACTCCATGCACATGCTCAGGCTCTGCTTTAACAATCGGACGCTCAGGTGTCTGTCTCTCACTCACACTGTCCACGGCCAGGCCTCCTCAGGACGGCCAGTGTGACAGCTGCAGGCCAGGCCACACGCACATGCAGAGTCAGAATGCGCACTCAGGGATTGTTTTGGAAGTGACACCGGGAGGTATTTTTGGGGAAGGGGCTGATGAAATTGTTGTGTATCTGGATATTCTGCAACTCTATGCATTTGCCAAAACTCGAAGAACTGCACAACCAAAAACGCAATCTACTGTGTGTGAAATTTAAAGGAAATACCATAAAAGACAAAGCATGACTAACTTCTCAGATGGTTTAACAGGCCGCTAGGAATTCAGAGGTTAACCTGAGCTGGAGCAGCTAGAGAGGAAAAGGCAGACAGAGAACCGGTAAACCGTGGGTAGCAGGCCTGCTGGAGGAGCGGTGGGCGAGGCTGGGGAGGCCGGGGAGGTCAGGGAGACGGCCCAGCACACGGACAGTTGCGCAGAGGGGTGCTCACAGCCAGCATGCTCGTGTGCTCACACGCCAGGCAGGAGCGACAAGCACTCACCAGCCTCCCTCCCCTGGGAACAGGGACCAGACCCCCATTGGTCACACCCATCACGGAGGCGCAGAGCTGTGGACCCTCTGAGACCAGCACGGGGGACCCGGAGGGCAGCACAGGCTGCTCTGGGGGGGCATAGCCTCAGGGGACGGGCGGGCGGGCGGGCTCAGGACCAGGCAGAACTGGGATGGGCGACGCAGGACGGCGGGAGGCCTGCCTTCGAGACGCTCGCTCAGCATGGAGCCGTGACGGTCACAGTAAAAACCTCTGCAGACGGCTCTGACCCCTGCCATCTCTCCTCTAACGGGAGGACGTGGCTGCAGACGCGCATTCAAGGAGAAGTTCTGGTTTGGAATACGGCTCCAAGGAGCGTGTCCTGGAGGAGGAAAGTCTCTGTCCCTCTGCGTGGGGTCGGCCACGGGGTGAGATGGGCTTCAGGGTTACGTGTTTAAAAAGTAGAAACGTGGCTGGAACGCCGCTCTGAAATAGCGCGGCGGTCAGCGGTCAGTGTGTGCTGACCGACACGGGAAGGAGGCGTGAGCGAGCGTGCGGAGTAGAGAAATGACTCGGCCTGCGGACCGGCCCACAGGCAGGCGGGGTGCTGAGGCGGCGACTGGCGGAGTGTGGAGTTGGGGGAAGGAAGTGAGTTCAGTGTTAAGAAGACTGACTTTGGGGTGGTCTGCATCTTCTTAAACCACAACCTCATCTCCGTCTCCCTCACCCCAGCCCTCAGGGCCCAATCACACAGAGCCATTGGCTGGTGCCTGAACATAGTATGTTTTCAAAACCACAGGTGCCTGGCAGGGGAGACACCATGTCAAAACCACAGGTGCCACCTGGCCGGCAAGGTTGACCACTGACCTGTGAACCAAGAGGTCATAGTCCAATTCCCGGCCACGGCACATGCCCGGGTTGTGTGGGGTATGCTGGGGATTCTCTTTGATCATTGATGTTTCTCTCTGCCTCCTTCTCCCTTCCTCTCTGAAATCAATAAAAATACATGTTTTTAAAAACCATAGGCGCCTTGCCCTGATTGGTTTGGCTCAGTGGATAGAGCATCGGCCTGCGGACTGAAGGGTCCCAGGTTCGATTCTGGTCAAGGGCATGTATCTTGGTTGTGGCCATAACCCCAGTGGGGGGTGTGCAGGAAGCAGCTGATCGATGTTTCTCTCTAATCGATGTTTCTAACTCTCTGTCCCTCTCCCTTTCTCTCTGTAAAAAAAACAATAAGATATAAAAAATAAAATAAAAAACTTAAAAAATCAATTAATTAAAAACAAAACAAAACATAGGTGCCTTAATATATAGGATGGTGGCCCGATCCACAAACTCCGAGCCATGGGCTCAGCTCTTGCGGCCCTCACAGCCCTGGCTTTGTCTAGAAGGTTTTCCAGTCTCATTAGCATATTATGCTTTTATTATTATAGGTTATTACAGATGGGCAAAAGTAGGTTTACAGTTGTGAGTGCATAAAACAGAGTTTATTCTGTGTTATTATCACTAATAAGTGTGTCATTTCCCCGGGGAGGCCCGGTGTGGGAACAGGTGGCGGCTCACTGGGACCTTCGGAGAACTCGCCGTAATGCACAAGTGAGCACACAGGCAGCACATGCCTGAGGCACGGAAACCACAATCTGTGCACCAGCAACTCCGCCTGAAGAGTCGTAAGGGATTTCTCTCCAGAAGACTCTCGAGAACAAACCAAGGAAAGGGGAGGTCAGCGAGCTGTCAGGCCCCAGCCCACGAAGGAGGCACTTCCCATCCTGCACTGATGGTCCCTGCTCACGCTCCACGGGGAGCACCTCACACGGCAACTGTGGGCACGGGCCTGCACCGACAGCGGGTCCCCGGGCCCTGCCAGCCCGCGCGAGAGCTGGCTTCCCACGCGGCTGCCTGCCAGGAGCACTGCTCTCCCTCTTCCCTGAGAAGAGAAGGTGGAGCCCCAATTCAATCTGTTACCCTCTCCCCCAGCCCCCAGGCCCGCAGCTCCCCTGCAGGGAGGCGGGAGGCTGCCATTCCCACAGGAGGCGGCAGAGAGCAGAGCAGGAACCCTTCAGCCAGGCCTTCGCCATCACAGCCCCCTCAGGCGGCTCCTCCAGCTGCCTCCCCAGAACCACTAGCCACGGTCAGACCTGCAGCTGTCACAGAGCGCGCGCGCACGCACGAGCACCCCGTCCATGCCGCGCAGGCTGCGCTCCAGGCCCGCTCCAGGCCTGGGTGAGACACTCACCACGTGGGACACTTGCTGTCACCCTCAGCTCAGAGCGTAATCACATGGCCCGTTCCCGTAGCAAAGGTCAGCTGAGGGAAGCCCTAGAATAATCAGGCAGCCCGCCTACAGGACGCTGAAATAGCACCTGCTGGCCTGCAGCCACGTGTAACCCCGAGTCTGTCTGTCCGTCTGTCTGTCTCTCTCTCTCTGTCTGTCTCTCTCTCTCTCTGTCTCTCTCTCTCTCTCATACACACACGCACACGCACGCTCAGGCAAGGCTGCTCTGTGGTGGGGACCACAGCTGCTGTGTGGGTGACTAGGCCTTCACGTCCCGGCCCCCAGCATGTCCGAGAAGACCGTGCGAAGGATGGATGAGGCCCTGCACGCAGCACGGCCATCCGCCGCCCTCATTAAACACAGGCATCTGCACGCAGACTTCCCGCCCGGAAACCTGGAAACAATTTAAACCTAACCAGTAGTATTAGTATTAGAACAAGCAATCATACATAGCAATATGTCCAATGTACCGATAACGAGGAAAATAACCTGCAAGAACGTTACCATTAGTGTTTCACTTGTATGAAAAGTACCGGCCTTTGTGTCTAAAACAGACATTAGAAAGCCTGAAAAAGACACAGCCAGCCTCCAGACAGTCAGCCCCAGAGACGCACTTACTATAAAGCCAGACAGGCACCTCACCCCCACCGCACATACTTCCGCATTTGAGTGTTTTATGACACAACAAAAAATCAAGGTCATTAATTTTGACTTTGAAGAACTGCTTTATCACCATGAAAATGATGTTTTTTCTTTTTTTGCTGTGTTTCCTAAAACTATGCTACAAATGGCACTTACTGAAAAAGCTCTAATCTCCAAAGCGTTTAATGGTTCTATGGAAAAGTGAGAGCCTTTCCCGAGTGCCTACGATTGCCAGGCGTTGGCCTATACATTCTCTCTAACAATTTCACGAAGGGAAGACAGCCCCCAAATTTTGACATTTGAAAACTTAAAAATCTAGGTCATCGGTCTAGAAAAGCTAAAATGTAAATCATAAAACAGCCTGAAGTGAACATGAAAATACAAATCAAAACTTAAAGTGCACAGCTAAAACATTACACATGAAAACTAGAGCCTTAAACGCATACCTTAGAAATTAATGGAACATTCAGTGACTTATTTTTAAGAAGCTCAGCAGAGTGAAAGGAATATAGAACAGGAATGAATACAATGGAAAACAAAGGAAAAGCCAGATGACCCAAACCAAGTGAGCTCTGTGCTACCTGAGCCGTTTTTAGAAAGTTCTAGTCATTGCAAACTTAAGGGATGTCCTTTGTTTGGTGTCTAATTCAGTTCAAACAAAATGCACCCCGTTTTCTCGCTTTCTTTGGAAACAGGTGCTGCGATTCTTCCCAGACCACGAGAGGCTCCTGCTGCCGGACAGTTCTGTGCCCCGTTGGGGAACGGGTGTCCGGTGTCCACAGGAGAGGGCCATTCAGGCTTTCACCCACGGAGCACACGGATGTGCCAGGGGAGAGCCCACAGCACGTGCGGACACGGTCCTGCTGGCAGCCTGCCCTCGACGC